TCCGCAACACTTTTCTTTTGAAAGATTACTCTGATTTTATTATAAAAGCACAAACGAAATCGGTCTTTTCTGGCCGTAAAAATGGGGATGTCACAGTTGGTATCAGAGCATTACTTTAAGCGAACTAGGAATTTGTAGGATTTCTAGACTTAAACTTAGAATGTTAAGCGATGATCGTGAGATTATTATCTTCCATATTTTAGACACGGGCACTAGTTTATTTTAGGAAAGATGCCTAAAATGTTTTTATGTGCTAAATGCTTTATGTTTGCCTTGTATGCTATTATTTGTTCGGATCAATGGTCTGTTGCCGACCGGATCTGGAAACCTTATGTGTTTAGGATTCTAAGCGTTCGATTACGATATTAGAACTAGCATGTAACATTTCGAAGTGATAAGGAGAATTTAAACGTCTATCGTGAATAAAGATCTAAATTCACCTAATTCGGTGTATAGATCGAAATAGAAAGAACCCGAAGTGGAGCTGGAGACACAAATGGAAATAGGAATCAGCAGCCTCGTCCCCAAGTGATTGAGCAAGTGTCGATAGTCGAAGTTGCACCTGAGCTAGTCACAATGGCTGGAGTACAAGCCATGATTCGGGCTATGATGGCTGAACAAAGGGAAGAAATGAGACAACTGTTGCTGAATAATAGAAATGAACCTTCGATGCTTGTTGAACAGTCGGAACTGAATGACGTATAGTCAGAGGAAGGGAATTACAGTCGCACTGTCAGTCAAGTGGAACCCCCAGTGGTGAGAAGGAATGACCCGGAGAGGGAAATCGATAGAGATGGATGTATGTATAAGAACTTCTTGGGTGCCAAACCCCCAAGTCTTTACAGAAACCCAAAGCCTGTGGAGATTATGGACTGGATCTCCGAAATGGAGATGGTATTTGAAAGTTGCAAATGTAGTGATAAGCAGAAAACCGTCTTTGCGGTTCGACAACTAAAGACCGGAGTCATGAGCTGGTGGAAATTGTTGGCGGATACGATGCCACGAGGAGAAGCTTTGAAGATGTCTTGGGAAGCGTTCATGGAATAGTTGAAGATGCAGTACTGCTCCGAGATAGATCTGATCGATCTAAACAATGAGTTCCAGAACTTGAAAAAGGGGAAAATGAGCGTTGATGACTATGCTACTGCGTTTACTGAGAAGATAAAGCTATTTGCTTACTTGGTGCCAACTGAACTCGCCAAGATAGAGAAATTTGCTAATGGATTGCCATCAGACTTTGGCCTAACAGTCAAAATGGCAAGCACGTTGAAGGCAGCCGTTAGAGCAGCCAAGAATGTTGAGACCTAATTAAAATAAAGTGGTCTGGAGAGAACTGATGTGGGTGAGAAGAGGAAGTTCGAGGGATCTTCGAGATCCAACAAGAAAAGTAAATCCTCAAAGTCTGGTCCGAGAGGGGGAAGAGGCGAAGCGAAATGGTGCGAAAAGTGCAAAAAGAAACATCATGGGAAATGTGACGGGGAGGTCACTTGTTTTAAGTGTGGAAAGCCGGGACACTATGCCAATGAGTGCACCTTCAACAAGAAAGTTTGTTATGGGTGTAATGAGGAAGGGCACATCTTGAGGGACTGCCCGAAGAAGAAGGAGGCAGCAAGGCCTAATGTCCCACCGAAGCCAAAAGCCAGAGCTTTCCAGATGACACTCGAAGCCGCGAAGGATGCAACAGACGTCGCTTCAGGTACCTTTCTTGTAAATGGATTGCCTGCCAATATATTGTTTGATTCTGGAGCAAATTACTCCTTTATATCACATAAATTTGGTGGAAGACTAGCATTTCCTATAGAAAAACTTGATAATGCTCTAGTTGTAGAAGTTGCCAGTGGCAAATTCATACCTGTTAGCAATTGCATTAGGAATATCATCATCAACTTGAACGGAAACGAATTCCACGAGGAGCTGTTACCTATTGAGCTGAATGGTTTCGATATCGTATTGGGAATGGATTGGCTTAGCGCCAATGTTGCCGAGATACTATGCAAGAAGAAGATAGTAAGGATGTAAGGGTAAACCCGCCTGGAAAAGAGTCATTTGTAGTGTATGGGGACAAACGTAGAGTGAATTCTGGAATCATTTCCCTAATGAAAGCCAGAAAATGTTTGTCCAAAGGATGGACATCATAATTGGCATTTGTGATCGATGCTAAGAAGGAGAAAAAGGAAATGTAAAGCATACCGGTGGTGTGTGATTATCCGAAAGTCTTTCCCGAGGATCTTCCTGGATTACCCCCTGATAGACAAGTAGAGTTTCGAATAGACTTGTTACCTGGAACGATACCAATAGCAAAAGCACCATACCGATTAGCACCGACGGAGATGAAAGAGCTTATGACGCAACTTCAGGAGTTGTTGGAAAACAGTTTAATTAGAGCTATTTCATCACCCTGTGGAGCTCCGGTGTTATTCGTGAAGAAGAAAGATGGAAGCATGAGGATGTGCATAGATTATAGAGAGCTGAACAAGGCAACGATGAAGAACAAGTACCCATTGCCGAGGATTGATGACCTGTTTGATCAGCTGCAATGTAACATGCCAAGATTCGAAATAGAGACCTCAAACTTAAAAGTTCAACAATTTACCACTTAGACAACTCAATACTTGTGTTTAAGTTTCACAACATCATAATATAATATGTATAAAGCTATATAAAACGAGTTGCGAAAATAAAAGAAAATAAATGTTTGAAAGAAGATTTGAACTTGCAACCTCTAGAAACATCCTCTAACGCCTTAACCATCTGAATCAACTACTTCTTGTGTTATTATCTCGCTAAACATATTAATATTATGTATATACACTACATAAAACAAAAAATTTCTAAAAAAATTATACTACCAATTTTTTTTTAAGGGGTATCCCGGGATAACCCGGGATCTATTGTAGATCCGCCTATGAGTTCAACTTGGGGTAACGTGCGTTAGATGTCTAGCTCTCAACACATAAAAGGAACAAGTCCCATCTCGAATATATAAGCTTCTTGCATAGTTCACACCATACTTGAAAATGGATTTTATAACTGCCTGGTTAAGGATCAACATTTGACCATATCAAAGCATAACACTCCTTACACTTAAGTCTCATTATGTATCTCAGGTGTTAAGGATACAAAAGATAGTACCTTTTAATTAGGGATGAGCATAGGCGGGTACCCACCCTAATTATCTGGAACCGGAACCGACGGTTCCTAAAATGTTGGAACCGGCGGGTAGCTGTTCCAATAGCGGGTACCCGGTTTGTTAAATTTGTTGAATTTTTAAAACTTATAAAAGTATATCTATTGTAAACATACAAGAAAGTTATCGACAACTGTAGTATGTAATTCGCTACATATTAAAAATATGTGCATGTTTCTTAAAACCTTTAAAGGTACAAAATAAATAACTCAAAATTCTAAAAATTTATATGATGTTATGCAAGATAGCGTATAAAGGATGTGTTTGTGATATATATATATATATATATATATATATATATATATATATATATATATATATATATATACCGGTTCTGGAGGGTAGCGGTTCCATAAAATAAGAACCGGAACCGGAACCGCTTAAGGCGGTTCCGAGGCGGTTCTGGTTCCGAAAGTGGGTACCATGTTCCACTGCTCATCCCTACTTTTAATCTTGTATCACTCATAACTGAAAAGTTATGCTCAGCGTAACACACTGCTCTACGCTCATCGTAGAGAAGGCTACACTCAACCTAGGACCACTGATGCCGAAAAAACTCTATTAAGCTTTTAATACAGAAGGTTAATTCCTCAATCTTTCAGATCTGATCTAAATGAACATCTTAATGTATAAAGTCTCAGACTTTATCCATTTGCATGGCTATAAGGAGCACAAAACCAAACCTAAAGTCCATAAAGCCATTTATTATTATTATTATTATCAAGAACTCATGCATGAAAGGATGAGAGTGTCCAAGCAATCATTTTTATGATTCTATAACCTCAGAAACATCAGAAAATGACATTCAAATGGTTTGGAGTAGCCCATACTCACATGGACCAATATTATGGGGGAAAAAGCTTACAATCTCAAGATCAAACTAGATCTAACATGAAAAGGCATCAAGATAGAA